AGCGCCTGGAGCGTCACGAAATTGCTCGTGGCGACGAGCTGGTTCCGGGGGAAGGCCCCTGGGAATCAGGCAGCCTTGAGATTCAAAGAAGGTAAGATAACGTAAACACAACGTTGGGAGGTCCGCGCGGACCTCCGCAAGCGTATGTCTAGTATGTGCTACTTCTTCCAGGGATGCCAGCGTTGCAGTTCGCCTCACTTCGGGCCCCGAGGCCCCCACGTATCGATCTGGTTTGAGAGATGCAGCAGGAAGTTGGGGTTTGGGGCTCTGGTTTTGAATTATCCACATGTTGCATTTGTCTCGCGACGTTGGATCTTAGGCAGTGGCAAGGGGTGGATCAAGGATCGAGGAGGGCCACCACTGCAGTTTCCAGCGATCCGATGCGGCCCGAGCATGGCGCGGTTGTGCACCTTGGCGCAGAGATCCGATTCAATTTCGACCTGGTCCCGACGCAGCCGGATCCGACGCACGTGCCGATGCCATATTGTGATTCGACGCTGCTTGATTCTGCGACCGGGGAATCGAGGCAGCGCCGCGAGAGGTTACCCATCGATCGCCGTAGAGGAGCGGGGTCCCGATGGAGGGTTTCTCCGAAGGGCTTTGGCGACCTGTCCTCCTCCTCCTCCTCCTACCTCCTCCTCCTCCCTCCTCTCCTCCTCCTCCTCCTCCTCCTCCTCCTCCTCCTCCCCCGCCTCCCTCCTCCCCCTCCTCCCCCTCCTCCTCTCCTCCCTCCTCCTCCTCCCCCTCCTCCTCCTCCCCCTCCTCCTCCTCCTCCTCCTCCTCCTCCTCCTCCTCCTCCTCCTCGGGTCGCCTACGGCCCCCGGGGGAAACCGTGCAGGTCCCGAGGGGCCCGGGACCTACTAGCAGGCAGTGGGCCCCAGGGCTCTCTTCCCGGGGGCCCGGTCGTCCGGTGACGGGCCCTGGGGCCCGCGGTCCCAGGGCCCGTGGAGGGCTCGGAAGCGGCGGAGAAAGCCCAGGGCCCCTCTCCTCGATGACCAGCGGAGGTTGATAGACCTCCTCCCCTGACACGTCAGCTGGCGAATTGGCCGTTTCCGGTTCGCGAGAGGGCGTCGCGGCCGTCCTTTTTGTTGCGGGTCCAGGTGCGTCGGTTTCGGCCCCAGGCCGTCTTCACGAAAGGGTGGCCCACGAAAGGGAGGTTTGTCCACCGCCGAGACCAGCTCCCTTCCTGCGAAGCTGGGGAAGCCCAGGATCGAGGAGGGCCACCGGCAGAGCCGGAGGGGATCAGCGGCGACTGCGGGCGGGTGGGGAGGTCCACGGCGCGCGAACGTCGCCGCCGCCGTCGGCATCGGCGTCGTCGTCGTCGTCGACGCCGGCGAGGGGGCAGCCCGGGGTGGTCTCGGCACTCCCGCGTCGTCTCTGCCTCGGCTACGCGTGACCCTCTGCCGGCTAGACGTGACCCTCGGCTCCACGCGATGCGACACCAGCGGCCTGCGTGTTTGGGTTTGGACCCCCGCACCCCCCGAGGCACCAAAGTTCACCCATGCCCAGGTACACTCTTGCGTGTGGACGGCTCGCGGCGTCCCTGGGGTGTTGATGAGGCCGCCACGGACTGCCCCGGGAGCCTGCTGCAGGACAGGAGGTTTCTCCACGGCCACATGGGTTTCTCGGTGGCGTGGGTGGGCTCCGTGGCCCCAAGGGCCCTCCACAGCAAGTGAAATACCCAGTACGGTGCAAGGGGAAGGGCCTTCTTCAGGCAGGCCTGGGATGAGGATAAATCTTTCCAGATGCCGAAATCAAAGATTTTGCGAAGGCCTTACGGCCGGCGCCGCCGACCCTGAAGAGGAACGACGACAACGGCGGCGGCGACGACGACGACGACGACGCTGACGTGGGTCAGAGTCCGCATGGATGCTTCTTGGGGTCTCTTCGAAGCGCTCTCGAGGGCCTCTGGGGGCCAGTTTAGGGGCCTCTTGGGAGCCTCTCTGGGGCCTCTTGGGAGCCTCTTGGGGGCCTCTCCTCGTGGCTTCCTGGGGGCCTCTTGGGGGCCTCTTGGGGGCCTCTTGGTTCCTCCAGGGAGCCTCTCGGGGCCGAGGGCTCGAAATGTCCGTTCTGGTCCCTCGTCTGGGTACCCCAAATGTCGTGGTAAGAAGGAGGGGGTCACAACCCTCCCAGACGAGAAGTTTTAGACCTCCCCAGACCATCCATGAAAGGGCGGCCCTTTGCCCAGACCCCCCCGAACCCTCCAAGACAGCTCGAATCAGACCCCCCCCCAAATGTGACCCCCCACGCTTTATCATGGAATCCGGAGTACCGTCTTGGGGGCCTCTTGGGCTGATTTGGAGGCGTCTCGGGCCGTCTTGGGGCCCTCTTGGGCCGTTTTGGAACCCTCCTAAGAGCCCTCTTGGGCCGTCTTGGGGCGATCTGGGGGGCCTCTTGGGCCGTCTTGGAGCGTCGGGAAGCGGAAGAGGCGAGAACGCCGAAAAGCTTCAAGAACTCATGGGAAATCATTGATTTGTCCTCCTGGGGCCCTCTCGGGAGTGCGCCTGGAGGCCTCTTGGGGCGTCTTGCAGTGCTCTTGGGCCGTCTGGAGGCTGTCAAGGCGTCTTGGACAGACCGTCCAGCGATTCGGGGCCCTCGTGGCCCGTCTTGGGGCTGTTTTTGGTCCCAGGACCCCCCGGGGGGAGACGTATCTGACCCGGGACCCCCCCCCCTCCCGGCGGGGGAGGGATCAAGATATCTGCGCGAGGATTGAGAAACGGAGTCGCCAGAGGCCTGGAACCGCCGTCTCTGGAGGCCTCAGGAGCTCTCTGGAGGCCCACGAGGGTCCTTGCGGAGGCCTCCGCGAGCCGCCATTTTTTGCTTCGAGAAAGTGAAGGGCAAATGCCAAGTGAACAACACACGCGCTAACAAAAGATGAGAAGTACAATTGGAAACACACACACATGACATGGTACCGAATCAACCGCCCCAAAACACTGCAGCTGAACAAACATCACCCGCCAGACCCAGGCATCGACCCCGTCTGGTGGCTCCATGTTTTCGATGCGCCCCCCCGCCGAGGACATCTCAACCCATTCCATGGGGCCTGCTTGTCGCCCCGGATTGTTGGTTGACGGCCCTGGGTCTCGAGATCGGACCCAGGCCGAAAATGTTGACAATACGCGGACGCGAACTGTTCGAGCCGCCAAATAGTTAGGTCGGGGCATTCGGCTCCCCGACCTGTCGCGTGTTGCATTCTAGCGAGAGGCCAATAGGGTTTCAAGCCGCGGCGACGAGGGCGCTCGAGGAAGCCCTGCCTGACCTGAAGCGAAGCACGCTCGGTAGAGCGTGTTCTGTTTGGGGCTCGGATCTCGACGGACTCTGCACCCGAGCCTGAGATCTTCCTTGGCGAGCCGCTTCGGGACACTGGCCCCCCAGTCAGAGGGCAGGGGAGGGCCGTGGCAGCAACTCGGAAGGTGGTGAAATCGGCGCAACGTGCGTACACAGCCAGGAGGGGACCGTCCTGGAGCTGGGATTTAGAGAGCACATGCCGCTGCTCATCCTCACCCAACCTTCTTTGCGCCTCAATCGCCCGACCCACAACATGTTAGGGTTCGGGGCCACTGCGGAGCACAAGAGGAGGAACAGGAGGCCTGCGCTTCGCATGCTTGGGCGGGTGGCCAGAATCTTGCAAGTCGTCCCCAGTCCGCCCAATCCGGTGCCCCCACGCTCGAACCACCGTAACACTGGCATTTGATTGGCGGCGTTGGGCGTTGGGAAGGGGGAGTGCGACCAAATTCGGCAGCATCTCTGGCCGTCTGATCAGCTCACGCATTGCCGAACATGTGGCAGGCTGTGCTGCGTGCGAGGTCGACGTCAACTTGCGCAGGATGCCTTTTTAACCTTTATGATCTCAACGTCTCCCCAGTGATCCGCCTGGTGCCAAACCTTCGCCAGATGTGGCCGTGCTCATAGCCAAGAGCACACGCGTTGAGACGGACTCGCTCTTGAAAGCCATCAGAACCGATGTGGGAATCGGTATTCCTCCAGAACTCATGTTCCTCCTCCCTCCTCCTCCTGCTCCTCCTCCTCCTGCGTCTCCTCCTCCTGATCCTCCTCATCAGCAGCATCGTCAGCAGTACCATCATCAGCAGCTTCATCATCACCACCATCAACATCAGCATCATCATCAGCATAATCACCATCAGCATCATCATCATCAGCATCAGCATCAGCATTATCATCATCAGCTGCAGCAGCATCATCATCAGAATCTTCTCCATCTCCATCTCCATCATCAGCATCATCGTCATCACTATCATCATCATCATCATCATCATCATCATCATCATCATCATCATCAGCAGCAGCATCATCATCAGCATCAGCATCAGCATCAGCATCAGCATTATCATCATCATCAGCAGCAGCATCATCATCAGAATATTCTCAATCTCCATCTCCATCATCAGCATCATCATCATCACCACCATCAGCATCATCATCAGCATCAGCATCAGCATTATCATCATGAGCAGCAGCATCATCATCATCATCGATCCTCCTGCTTGAAACTTGTCCAAAGCGACCCCTCCCGGGGTCCGCCCGAACAGCTGTTCAAGCCACGTCCAGCCGTGGCGGCGAGAACCTCCAGAAATAGCCCAAAAACCTCCGACCCGACGTCATCGTCGTCGTCGTCCTCCTCCTCCGCCTCCTCGATAGTCATCCTCCTCGTCCTCCTTCTTCTCCTCCTCCTCCTGATCATCATTATCATTACCCCCACCATCGTCATCACTATCATCATCATCATCAACGGCATCATCATCACCACCATCATCATCATCACCAGCATCGTCATCAGCAGCAGCATCAGCATCAGCATCATCATCATCAGCAGCAACATCAATATCATCATCATCAGCATCATCATCAGCAGCAGCATCATCACCATCATCCTCATCCTCCGCGTCCCTCCTCCCTTCCCCCTCCTCGCCGCCGTTGCGGGCGCGGCGGCCCAAGACCTCGGGTGGCAGCCGCGAAGCGCGCCTGCGATCGCCACGCGTTCTGGGCGTTATGGAAGCAAACAGCTGGGCTTACGTCGGGCACGTCCCTCTACAGGAGGACTATTCGAAAATAGTTACAAAATAGTCGGGTGACGATTTGTGGAGCATGTTTGACAATGTTTGAGTCAGTTTTGACTTCTTGTTTTCGTCCAAGATCCGCCTGTAGGGGGACACGCCCGACCTACAGCTGGGCCCGCCCGAGAACGGGGCTGAGGCGCCCCAGAACCACATCACGTCGAGCCCTCCCTTTCCCCCCCCCCTCCTCCTCCCCTCATCCTGCTCCCCCTTATCCTCCTCCTCCTCCTCCTCCTCCTCCTCCTCCTCCTCCACCTCCTCTTCCTCCTCCCCCTCCTCCCCCTCCCCCTCCCCCTCCTCCCCCTCCTCCTCCTCCTCCCCTCCTCCCCCATCCTCCCCCTCCCCTCCTCCCCCTCCTCGCTCCTCCTCCTCCTCCTCCTCCTCCTCCTCCTCCTCCTCCTCCTCCTCCTCCTCCTCGTCCGCCTGCCCCCCCTTCCCCCCGCCTTGGCATCGCTCGGACGTGTGCGCGTTTTCCTCGGCGAGGCCAGCGGCGGAAAACCTGGACCCTCCTGGATCGGAGCTCAAGAGACGGGGACCCATGCCAACGGGGGTCAGCCAGAGCGCCCGATCTTGCAGGATCCTGCAGGGCCAGGGTCGCATTGACCCTGGGCTTGGGTGCAGTATTTTGCAGGACGGGGGTCAGCCAGAACGCCCGATCTTGCAGGATCCTGCAGGGCCAGGGTCGCATTGACCCGGGTTTGGGTGCAGTGTCCTGCAGGATCTTGCAGGGTCCTTCGCATTGACCCGGGCTCGGGCGCAGGCTCTTGCAGGATCTTGCAGGATTCTGCAAGGCCTGACTGACCTGGGTCTGGCTTGACCCAGGTCAGAAGACCCGAGTGGAGCAGCTTGGACCAGGCTCGTTTCGGCTCTTCCGATCCGATTCCGATTCGGGTTCCGATGTCTCAACGGGGACCTTATGCTAGCTTGAAGTCGCGCGTGTCCCTCTACAGGAGAAATGTTCAGACATGGTCCAGAAATAGTTTGGTGACGATTTGTCCACTATGTTTTGTATGTTTTGATATCGTTTGGCTATTTCCCGACCTGATACTAACTTGCCGATGCCCGCCGACCCGGTGCCTTTCGATCGCCGATCCGACCGATCGATTCGATCTTGACCCCTCCTGCCCTGCGCAGAGGGCACGCACGAAGCCAGACGGCGCCCGGGAACCAGGGGGGCTCCTCCGTGGCCCCTCCACAAGAGCGGGTCGACAAGGCTCCCGGGAACCAGGGGGGGGTCCTCCGCGGCCCCTCCACACTAGCTGGTCGGCGAGGCTCCCGCGCGATGGCCGGCCTCGCTCCCCGAAGCCCTCGGCACGCCGCACCGCCGCGAGGCAGTTCTGCGCCGCGGCGCTCGCGGACCTGGCCGCCGCCGCGGCCTCCCCGCGCGGGCGCCTGCCGCCCCGCCGCGCCGCCTCTCCGCCCGCCGCCCTGCGTCCAGCGGCGCGCCGAGTTGTTCGGGCCTCCAGATGTTACGCACTGCTCGTTCCTAATTCTTCGAAAGTTCTTTGATCTTCTGGGGGGCCAGGATCCTCTCATTTCTGATTCTTCTATCCTGGGCCTCTTCCTGGCCACTAGGGGGGCAGGAACAAGTAGAAACGAGCGCGATTAGACAGGAGCACGATTAGAAATGTACGATTAGAAAGGAGCACGATTAGAAATGAACGACGTGTAGAGATCTTCCAACGTCTCAGCATCTTCAATCTGCAACCTCCACATTTACAGATCTGCAACCTTTCAGCCTCTCACTCCGCGGGCTGGAAGACCTCTCAACCCTTGAAGCATTCCAAAGTGTACAAACGTTCTCAAGCCGAGCGGCCCTTCCCGAAATGAGCAACGGGCTTGTCAGGCATTGATACGGGACGTAGGCGAAAGTTGGACCCTTTGCTTCAGCGGCGAGCCAAGGCGGGGCAGTCAGAGTGGGTGGGCTTTCTCAGAAAGCTCGGAAGGCCACCAGCCTTCGGAGAAGTGTCCTGAGCCTTCTCAGAAGGCATAGATGGCTTCTCAGATGGCCGGAGGGCTTCTGAGAAGCCCCGCCGCCTTCTGAGAAGGCCTGCTGCCCATCCTTCCCCCCCCTGGGCGCGCCGCCGATTGTTACCCATCTGCATCTTCCGCCACCACGTGGGCAAAGGTGGCCCGGAGGCGGGTGGCGCCTCTGGCAGTGCCCGAAGGATCTGAAGAGCCTTCAGGCGGGGGTCAAGGCAAACGGGGGTCATCCAGAGCGCCAGATCTTGCAGGATCCTGCGAGAAGACCCCCTCTGGCTGACCCGGGTTAGCCAGCCGCTCGTGGCCGCGAGGCGGCCGCGCATATTGGTTGACCCGGGTTTGCGAAAACCTGCGTTGCAGGTTTTTTGTCCTGCATTGCAGTTGTTTGGTTTCCTGCTGGCCCGGGTCTGGATTGACCCGGGTCAGAAGATCCCCGATGAAGCACGGATGTTGGGCGGCTCGGCCTCTTCATGCCATGCGCCGCCGAACTCCGGCGAGCGGCATCCAGAGGAGGAGCGGGAGGAGGAGGAGGAGGGGGATTGGAAGGACAAGTGCCTTCACCCTCTCTCGGGAGGGGCAGGCCCTCTCAGGGGGCGGCCGGGCTTCTCGGAAGCCCCCTGGCCTTCTCAGAAGCCCTCTGGCCTTCTGAGAGGCCTTCTGTTCACCGAGCGCGTGCCACTACCCGCCAAGTGCCTACTCGCAGACGTCCGAGAAGCCCACGGTCGCCTCGACGTAAGATGTCGTAGATCCCCCACGGCGGATCCAGGCCATTTGCGAGAAGTCATAAGTCGGGCCTGTCCCGCTACAGGAGGATTATTCAAAGATGATTAAAAAGAATAGTCTTGGGACGATGTTTATATGATTTGTGCCTGTTCCTGAGCATGTTGTGACTATTTCTTATTCTTCGTGAAAAATCCGCCTGCAAGAGGACATGCCCGACCCAACAGCAGTGACTTTGCGAGTCGTGGAGCGCGCTTGCCTGAGTCTGCGGCTGCGGCGAGAAGCGCAGGAAGCTCCCGAGAGGGCCGGAGGCCTCCCGAGCCTTCTCGGAAGCCCTCTTCGAGGGAGGAACAGCCACCCGGACCCGACAGTTGGAGTTTACTAAGCGGCCCTGGGCGTCGACTCAACAGCTCTGCCCTGTTTGATTCCTTCCTTGGGCGCGTTGGCTAAGCGGCCTCGCGTGCCGGGGTGGTTACTATCGGGGTGGATGTTCTGCCCTCTGCCCCTGGCCTTCTCGGAAGCCCCCTGGCCTTAAGTCGGGCCTGTCCCTCTACAGGGGGAATATCCAAAAATAGTTGTTTTATAGTCGGGGGACTATTTTTTGATTATTTTGAATATTTTCTGACCATTTGGGGCTATTGTTGCGTATTTTTTATTTTTCGTCGAAAATCATCCTGTAGGGGGGCACGCCCGACTTAACCCTGGCCTTCTCGGAAGCCCCGTGGCCCTCCGAACAGGAGCCGAAGCGCTGCGGCCGCGGCGCGAGACGCAGGCAGCTCCCGAGAGGGCCCGGGGAGGCCCCTCCCGAGCCTCCCTGGACAGGCCGCCCCGCCTCGCGCTCCCCCCCTGGGCGCGCAACCCTGTTTCCGGGAGCGGAGGCAGGCGTACACACGGTTCGTTTCTGATTCTTCGAGAGTTCGTGCCTTGGCCGTGGCCCCCCCTTGCCCGTCGATTCCTTCACGTTCGCCGCCTGTCGTCGTGCGTCCGCCCCCGTCCCCTTCCCCCTGGCCGTGGCCTGTTCCCCCAGGGCCCTTCCCCCTCTGGACAGTCCCCCCCGCTGGCCGTACACATTATTCATTTCGAAGTATTCGAAAGTTCTTTGATTTGTTTGGGGGAACCAAGATCCTCTCACTTCTAATTGTTCTATCCTGGGCCTCTTCCTGGCCACTAGGGGGCCAGGAACTAGTAGAAACGAGCACGATTAGAAATGAGCACGATTAGAAATGAACGACGTGTAGATCGGGCGTGTCCCCCTGCAGGCGGATCTTGGACGAGGAATACAAAGTAGCCCAGACGTGTCAGAGAACTGCTCAGAAATACTCCACGGAATCGTCCCCTGATTAGTATGGTTTGACTCTGTTTGGATACTCATCCTGAAGAGGGACCCGCCCGACTTCGAGGCAGGCTCGAACTTCAAACGTCGAGGCTCAAACCTGGTTATCCGACGATGCGACCTTCGAAAATCATCATCAGCAGCATCATTAGCAGCAGCAGCATCAGCATCAGCATCAGCATCAGCATCATCATCATCATCATCATCATCACCATCACCATCACCATCACCATCACCATCATCATCATCATCATCATCAGCATCATCAGCATCATCATCATCATCATCATCACCATCAACAGCATCACCATCATCATCATCATCAGCATCATCATCACCACCATCACCATCATCACCATCATCACCATCATCACCATCAGCATGAGCATCAGCATCATCAGCATCAGCATCAACATCATAAGCATCATCAGCATCAGCATCATCAGCATCAGCAGCATCATCATCATCAGCATCATCACCAGCAACAGCATCACCATCATCAGCAGCATCATCATCACCAACATCACCATCATCACCATCAGCATCAGCATGAGTATCAGCATCATCATCATCAGCATCAACGTCATAAGCATCATCAGCATCAGCATCAGCATCATCAGCATCATCATCATCAGCATCATCATCACGATCAGCATCAGCATCATCATCATCATCAGCAGCAGCAGCAGCAGCATCATCATCGTTCTTGGATTTCGGCCCTCTGGGGCGAGTTTTCGGGCCCTGGGCCTGTCAAACATGAAGGCGGGACGCAAAGCTACTCCCAGGGAAGCGGTGGGAGCGTCTAGGGCCGCGGATTGAAAAAAACAGGTCGGCGGATGCCATGGAAATTTTGGAGTGTCTTTCGCCCTTATCTGTCCTCCGGAGGCGTTCTCGCCGCCTCGAGTGGATCCGATTCGAAATTCTGGCCAGAACGTACCCCCAGAGGGGTCTCTGGGACCCGATTCTTAACGGGAGCAACAGGGGGAGGGAGAGGAGGTGGCGTAGGAGGCTAGGAGGCAGAAGTAGGAGGACCAAAGTAGCGCCAGCCTGAGATTAGGAAATGATGGACCGCCCCCCTTCCCGGGGCTGATGAATAGACCCTGTGGGGCGCGAAACTGTTTGTCAATCGCGCGCGCCAGGGTTCGGAGAGCTCGGGGAGCCACCGCGCCGCGGACGATGGCAAACGGCATGAACGACGCGCCGCCTCCGAGGGGGGGCGCCCCCGCGGAGTGAATCGCGGCGACGGGAGCTCCGCTCCACTCCGACACAGAGAAATATCGCGGCGGTGGCGGCGGCGACGACGGCCCTTGCCTCTGCCGCCCCTGCCTCCTGCCCACACCCCCACACCCCCCCAGTCCGTGGCCATGTTGGCCCGACCGCCCCTCTGTTGCGGAGGCGCTGCTGCTCCTGCCGCCCTTTCGCTGGCGGCCAGGCGTCGGCGCGAATCACCGGCGCCGCCGCTGCGCGTTTCCTGTTGGCGGGCGCCCCCCTTCGCGAATCGTCCGAGCAGGGGAACCAGTCATTGAATCGCACGCCCCGTTTGTTTTTTTTTATAAATTACAAGTTGACATTCGACACAAGATGCCTCAACGATGCTGCAAAGCACCCTCCCGCCCCAAGCCCCCTCTTGACACGCATGAAAAAAATCCCTTTCACGACAGGAAGCGACACCCTCGAAAAAACAACGCCGCATGGGCTTGCCATGTTGGCAATGGCCCCGCGCTGAAAAGGAACCGCCTCGCATCCTTTTGGCACAGAATCAGGAGTGCGAAATGAAACCGTGACTCGTTTTTTGTTCTACGAGATGTGCAGCGAGGTCCCCCTTTTGAGAAAGCTCCCCCCCGCAAGCAAAACCCTTGCACATGGCAACTGGCGCGGGCATGAGGTTTCGAGCAAGCTAGAGCTTCAGTTTGAAAAGGAACCGCCCTTGACTTCGCGCAGTGCAGTGCCACCTGCGTCAGTGCGTCAGATTGGACAAGAAGCGTCCTCCATCCCCGTAACTGCTGCGCTGCAGATGTTCCAGACGGCCGCGCGCGGCGCCAAGACAAGAGCCCCATTTTCAAAACGACGCCCCACCCATCCATCCATGAAACGTATGCTCTTCAATGCTGGAAGCTGTTGCACATGCCAATGCGAACGCGCGCGGAGCTCAGGCGAGAGCCACATTTTGAAAAGGAACAGCCCTTTTAGCCTTGAGCCGGATGGAACATGTTAGAAGGAACTGCGCGGCGTTGAGGCGAGAGCTCCATTGTGAAAACGACCCACTCCATCCTGCAACTTGCTGCTAACGTTTAGGGCGAATTTCGCCGGCGTTCAGGCGAGAGCCTTAGTTTCAAAACGGCCCGCTTTCCGAATTTGGAATAGCTGCAATTTTACAGGGCGAAATTGCAATAGCTCCAATTTGGAATAGCTGCAACGCTATATGAAAACGGCCACCCACCTTTGCTTGAATTCGCTGCAAGCTTTTAGTACGAATGCGCGTGGCGCTAAGGATCATACGCGCTGAGGAGTCCCGAGCGAAACGATCAGCCCGCCCTACCGAAACGTCGGGGGATGTTGCAGGGAGTCGTGATGTGCAAGAAGAAAAGATGGAGGGAGAGGAGGAGGAGGAGGAGGAGGAGGAGGAGGAGGAGGAGAAGGAGTGGAGGAACAGGCGGGAAAGAAGGACGGGGGGGAGGAGAAAGAAGGGGAAGGAGCATGATCAAGGATCGAGGACCGATGTTTTGGAACGTTGTGTTGCCCTTTCTCGGGCCTCTTGGAGATTTATCGTCGAGGGGGCCACCCCTTGTCCTCCTCATCCCCCTCGGACCGGATCGAAACTAAAGGCCAGCTGATTACGAAATCCCTTCTCGTGCAACGCCTGGGCTTGCGCAAGACGTCGCCCCGCTGGACCTTCAAGGCGCTCACGGAGACGGTGGCGGTTGCTCGCTGGGCGACAACAGCTGGACCTCCCAGGAGTTCACGAACGCGGCGGCAGCTGCGCAGTTGACGGCACCGAGAGAGGCGAGGTCACCTTTCGGCCCCGTAGCCCCGTCCTCCTCCTTCTCCTCCACCTTCTCCTCCTCCTCCTCCTCCTCCTCCTCCTTCTCCTCCTCCTCGCCTCCTCTTTTTCCTCCTCCTCCTCCTCCTCTTCCTCCTCCTCCTCTTCCTCCTCCTGCTAGGAGTTCACGAAAGCGGCGACAGGCCCGGACGTGGCAGCACCCGAGGAGGGCGAGCTCCTCGTCCAGGTGTCCCCGAAGCCTGGCGCCCCGCTGGAATTCCCAGGAGCCCGCGGAACTGGCGGCAGCTGCGTAGTTGACAGCACCGAGGGAGACGATGTAGGAGAGAAGCCAGCTTCCAGCAGGCAGGAGAGAAGAGGGGAGGGGGCGAGAGAGGACGGACGAGAGGACGAGCACCAGTGTTCCGTTCAAAACGAGCACGGTACTGAAGGATTGCTGGAGAATTGGAGGGAGAAAGACAATGAAACAACGTGCGAAACCAATGCACAGAAGAAGAGCCTGATATTTGAGGGTGAGAAGGAGGACGCGCACACGTCGATAAGGAGGACAACGATTGTAACAAGCAAGGGCCTTCGGAGGTGGAGCAGAAGGGGGGGTGGCGGAGGAGGCCCGACGACGCCTAACGACGCCCAACGCCCAACGCCCGACGACGACGACGACGACGACGACGCCCGACGACGACGCCCGACGACGACGTCCGACGCAACGCTCGACCATGCCCGCCGACGAGGGCGCCCGACGACGATGGCGGCGGCGGCGGCGGCGACGACGACGACGACGACGATGATGGCTACGACGGCTACGACGACGGCGGCGACGGCTCCAGGCTCCCAGCGCCGGGCGCCCGGCGACGACGCCCGACAACGATCGAATGATGGCGCCCAGCGTCGCCAGGCGCCGTCGTCGGGCGTCGCTTAACGTCGTCGTCGGGCGCCGTCGTCGCTGGGCGTCGCCGGCCGTCGTCGGGTGTTGTCGAGCGTCGTCGAGTACCACTAGGCGTCATCGTTGTCGTGCGTCGTTGTTGTCCTCGTCCTCGTCCTGGTCCTCGTCCTCGTCCTCGTCGTCCTCGTCCCCGTCCTCGTCGTCCTCGTCCTCGTCGGCGTCGGCGTCGTCGCCTTGCGGCGCCCAACGGCCCCCCGCGGCGCCCGAGACGCCCCGCGCAGGCCCGGCACGCCGGCCGAGGCGCACCTCGCCGCTGCCGGGGCGGCGCTGCTCGCAGGCAGGCTGCGCGAGAGGTGCGCCGAGCGCGTTCCACTTCTCGCAAAGTGCCTACTCGCAAACGTTCTCAAAACCCATGTTTGCCTCGATGCAGTGGATCGTAGACCCCCCGCGGCGAATCCAGGCCATTTGCGAGCACTTACCTTTTGTGAGTAGTGGAACGCGCTTGTCTAGAGGTGCGCCGAGGTGGCCGTGCCCGCCGGCCCGCCAGCGGGGGCCGAGGAGCGCGGGCCCGCCCATAGTTTTTTCAGGAGGGGAAACACACCGACACAATTAATCGTCGATTCCCCCGAAAATGTGGGAAAATATTGGAAGTGGGGGGAAGACAAAAGCCCAGAAAATACGGGAACATGTGGGGAGTCCTGTTATTTGTGTCTGTTTATTTGTGTGTCCCAGGGCCCCCCCATTTTTTTACACTCGAAGAAGCACCGTGGTTTTCCGCCCATGGTGCGGCGCGCCCGTGGTGCGGCACGCCGCCCGTGGCGCGGCACGCCGCCAGTGGTTCGGCACTCGTGGTGGAGGGCTTCTCCGATGGGCTTGGGCGACCCGCCCTCCTCCTCCCTCCCCCCTCCTCCCTCCTCCCTCCTCCTCCTCCTCCTCCTCCTCCTCCTCCTCCGCCTCCTCCTCCTCCTCCTCCTCCTCCTCCTCCTCCTGCTCCTCTGCTCCTCCTCCTCCTCCTCCTCCTCCTCCTCCTCCTCCTCCTCCCCCCTCCCCTCCCCCTCCTCCTCCCCTCTTCGGGTCGCATACGGCCCCGGCGGGAAACCGTCCAACTCGTGGTTCGGCATTGACATACACATTTGGCGTTAAGTCGGGCGTGTCCCTCTACAGGAGGGATATGCAAAAATAGTCAAAACATAGTCTGGGAACCATGTTTTGGCTATTTCTGCTTATTTTTGAATAGTTTGGGGCTGCTTTTATTTTTCACCCAAAATCCGCCTGTGGGGGACATGCCCGAGCTAACACTCGAGGAAAACAATACGGCATAAACATACACTGTTGGCGCTACGCGCGGATTTCTTGGATCCGCGCTGGGCCCCCCCAACCCTGCCCGCCAAGGAGGGGGATCCAGCGCAGATCCAAGAAATCCTTGCGGAGCGCCACAAGTCTGTGTTTATGGCTTGTTGTATTCTTTTAAGCACTCTCGGAACAGGTACAGTCGGGCCGCTGAAGAAGAAACCCTTTTCGTTTGGGAAGGGGCTCAGTGTCAGTGTTCCTCAAGTGTTTTACAGTCTTGTTGCCAGGTGCTCCTTAGGATTTCGATGGGAAATCGAAGATTGACTTATGGAAGAAGGGGGCGTCGTTCCTCATGTATCGTTCCTTACGACAGCGTCTCGACTGTACGGAGAGGATGAGCACGAAGACCAGCAACAGGTCCTGTCCATGTTGAACGTGGTTCGCTGTCGGCGTCGCTACGGGCGTTGCCCATTTGAGACAGAAGGCCACCTGCCCATCAGCGGCCAATGTCGGTTTGGGACAGCATTTGTTGATGGGCATCGTGCCCATTCTTTCCGTATCCATTTCGAGCGTCCTAAGTGCTCGTCGAGGTCGTCGCCGTGCCCCGTGATCCTGGCGTCGCATGTTTTCACAGCGGGCGACTTGGCCCTGTTTCGGACCCTGGGACCCTCGCGGATCCATCCGGCTCGAGAGATGCCGCAGAACGACGGGGCCCAGGGCTCTGGCCGAGGCGTTTTGCAACGTTGCCATTTCTTCGCGACGTCGCATCTCAGGGTCGCCGTCGCGCCGCCCGCCCGCCCTTCGTCGTCGAGGTTGCGGCGCCCCACATCTCCGACAGAATGAGTTTCTCGATCCCGGCGTGCTTCCCCGATTTCGGCCTCCTGGGACCGCTGTCGGGCCCCAAGACGAAGCCGGGGCTGCCCCCCCCGGGGAAGGGGCTGGGACGTCTGGGGCCGAGCATTTAAAAAAAGCATTCGTCGTCGGATGTCTGCGACAGGTTCGCGTGTTCAAGGGTTGAACGCCCCCCGTTCGGCGGCGAGCGAGGGGGTGGAGTGAGAAGGAGAAGGCCTCTTCAGAAGGAGGCGGGACTTTTCAGCAGCCCTCGCGCCTCCTGAAAAGTGCACTGTGTCTTCGGGGACGGCACAGAGAGCTTCTCAGAAGGCCAGGGGACTTCCGAGCCTTCTGACAAAGCTCGCCCCTTCTCGTTTCCCCCCTGGGCTCGCCGCCGACCAGTGGCCCATAACCAGCCATTCTTGGAACGGTCCTACAAACGGAAAGGCACCGATCGTTCCAGGTTGAACGATCCGCTCGGTGTCGGAAACCAGCGCCCCGGTCGTCACCACACGAGCATGCCGTGAGGTCGTCGAGGTCGCCGGCCCGTCGCAGTCGGGCCGCCGTCGCCGTGGGGAGGGGGAGGAGCCCATGTTGATCCTGCCAGCCGGCGTAGCCGGCGTCACCCATTTGGGGGGAGGGGCCTGGTTCAGGAGGGAAAGAAACACACAGACACAATTAATCGTCGACTCCCAGGAAAATATGCAAAAATATGGGAAGTGGTGGGGAAGACAAAAACCCAGAAAATATGGGAAAATATGGGGGATATTTTTATTTGTGTGTATTTATTTGTGTGTTCCAGTTCCCCTTCACTGGTGACGTACCATTTTGCGCCCGCGGGGTCTGGGAGTAGTCTGGGATACAGTTAGGAACTTTCGGATAGCGTCTCGCTCCGCAAGTTCTACCCCACCACGCTTCGGAGCGGCACGGCGCTGTGCAAGAAGACTTGGTGTGGTTTGCATTCGTCGACGTTCGAGTTGACGAAGAGAGCGTGGCCATTTCAGCGGAAAACTAAATTGGAGTAGCTCGCGCATGTCCGTAATTATGGGGCGCACGTTAGTTATGGAGAGGACAGGTCAAGAAATAATCCCACTGTCGGCTCAAGGTTGCGACAAGCTCGCCATCATCATAATCATCTTAAGAACACTCGAAGAATGCAGCTGGGTCACCGAAGAGCTCACCTGGCATCACTAGCTCGAGGCGACCCACACTGGGCGGCCAGGCGGATTGCGCCGGAAACGCCAGGCGCGCTTGCTACAAGCAAACACACGTGGAGTGAGCCTCTCGGCTAGAACTTTGGCGCTGCAGAATGCACCAGGAGGGAGCTGGCACGCTCGCGAGGCTCACGGGAGGGGGGGCACAGGAGGGACGCCAGCCCGGGGCATTTGGGCTTTGAGAGTGAGCTAGAGCAAAACGACAGCCAGGCATCCGCCCGCGGCCTGGGTACACACAGAATCCGCCTTATGTTGCGGAGAAGGCCCCACTCGAGGGCGACGCTTCGAGCCAAGGGCGAGGGCGAGCGCGAGGGCCAGGGCGGCCCTGCCGTGTCCGACGCCACGACCTGCTCGGGGCGTCGGCCCCTGGGGATCTCGACCACATCCTCGGGGCCAGCTCCTCGTCCCGAAACGCGACCTCGAGGCCCCGGGGCTCGAAACGGACCCCGCAGACCGGCACCGCCGAGGGCGAGAGCGCGGAACGCCCCCCCGGGGCAGCTTCTGCGGGCCGCGCCGGGGCCACGGACACGCACGGACGTCGAGGGGAAGACGAGGGCGGCCGCAGAGGAGGGCGAGGCAGGAGGAGGCCTCGGGGGCGCTGAGAGCTCCCGCCACGGCAGAGGAGAGAAGGTCGCCGTGGCGCGATGCAGCTCGAGCCGCCTGCCGGGCCTGCCTTTCCGCAGTCAAAGGGGAGAAGAACCACCCGGACCAGACACTTGGCCCTTACGAAACGGCCCTGGGCGTTTACTGAACAGCCCTGCCCTGTGCGATTCCTTCGTTGGGCGCGTTCACCGAGCGGCTTCGCGTGTCGGGGTGGCTATTCTCGGGGTGGACCTCCTGCCCTCAGGGGCAACGCGAGAAGGAGGAGGAGGAGGAGGAGGAGGAGGAGGAGGAGGAGGAGGAGGAGGAGAGAGTGGGGATGGCCTCAGGGGGGGCGCAGCGGCCCCCCGGTCGCCCACTCCTGGCCGACAGGGGCCCGACAGCCCGCCCCGCCCAGCGGAGCGTGCGCACTCGCTCTCTCGGGGGCCGTCGCCGCGATCTATCGGCGACGCCTCGCCGATGCCAGCTCGGCGCTTCCCCCCTCTGGCCTGGCCTTGAGTCGGGCCTGTCCCTCCACAGGAGGAGAATGCAAAGATAGTCAAAAGGTAGTCGGGGGGGCGATGTGTTGAGCATTTTTGGCTTATGTTGGGGGCATGTATTGATTATTTTAAATTTGTCATCCAAAACCCGCCTGCAGGGGGACATGCCCGACCTAACCCTAACGTTCCCTCTCACTGCGCCGCCAGGACATGTCCATGTTGACTGCCGCCGGGCCGTGCCCTTGGGACCTCGGGGAGCGGTGGACACGGTCATCTGCCCCCCCGCGGTGGAGGCGCAGAGATCCACACCCACCACGCCGGGGCAATGCCCCGAGGCGATCCTTGAGACCCGACGTCGCAAAAAAAATACAACATCGTAACAAAGCGCGCCCGGAGCCCGAGACCCCATGCCTCGAGCCCAGCCTGGGGCCTCAGAGCGCTCCCATGCTGCTCGTCCTCGTCCTCGTCCTCGTCCTCCTCCTCCTCCTCCTCCTCCTCCTCCTCCTCCTCCTCCTCCTCCTCCTCCTCCTCCTCCTCCTCCTCCTCCCCCTGTCATTTCTCGAGCCGGATCGATCTGTGATGGTCCCCCGGGCCCGAAACAGTGCGATAACGCTCGCCGTGGAAAAAATGCAACACCAAGATCTCAGGGGACGCCAAGATTACTTTGTTTGTCCGACGCCATGATTTGTCCCATGCTTCTGTGACAACTCACGGGGGCATCCCATACCATCTTGCTGGCTCTTGCGAACCGACGCTAAATCGACGCTAGTCGACGCCAAATCTGGAAATCCCTTGGCGGTGCACTCCCCAAGGACGACGAGGAGGCGCCCTGGCCGATGGGCGGCGCGGCGGGGAGTCGCAGGCTTTCCCGGCTGGTGCAGCTGCGGCCGCCGCCCCGGCTGCGGGCGGCCGCGCCCCCCTTCAAGCAGTGGCGAAGCGTTTTGGCGTGCCTATAGGCCCACGAGACAATGTTCTAAGAACCGCTTGTGGTTTCTACGAAATGTTCTGGGAAAGTGTCTGGCTGAGACCGACTGTCTTGTCGGAACACATCGGGCTCATGTTCTAAGAGCATTCCTGGTTTTTGTTCTTAGAACACCGTTGGGCTCTAAGAAGGTAGGCTTATAGGGATGCCAGGACGGTCGGT